CTGACATTACTTTCAAGAAGACCTTGTTACTCTGCCAGCGCTATGGTCACTGTCTGAGGTTGCATCAGAGCTCTGCAAGGTCAAAGTGCACCAGGTCCATCCTTCACAGTACATCGAAAGCAGTAATAAAATGAAGGAGACATAGGGGTGATCCGCAGGCACATTAGCTGAGAAACTTCATGGAATACATACAGCCCTCCTATGACATCTCCTGTGACCAAATGGAACATTAGTCCATGGATGTGTAGGGAGCCTCAAAAAAGATGTACGAGATGGGCATTGGGAAGCAGTACATCTCAAAAACATGGCCCTGGACAAGAATCTTCTTCCCCTCAAGGAATAGAGAAGGTAAAACAAGATATAAATAATGCATTGCATCCCTTAAAAAATACAGTCCATAAGGTGCACAGTATATTCAAACCACCCTTATACATAAAATGTGTCACCTTCAGCCAATGAACAACTATTATAAATCCTATTATTTTTTATTCAGGGGACATGACAATATTTTGTATTATCAAACATAAAGTTACACCACAATGGATTACTCTCCTTTACTTCTGAGTAAAGAGCCTTCAGATACCAAACATGCTTAATTTTTAACTCAAGTGCAGAAATACATCTGTGCCTCACTTTACACTCCTTTCAGATTGGAATAATGTATAATATATATCAATGGCGGGCTGGGCACACCTATGAATTTCAAAGTTTCCATTGTTTTTTCACCTATGTAGAATTGTGTCTGGTTTTTGTCCATCAAAGAAAAAAAAGAACAATATACTAATTCTGCTTTTGTACAATTCACCTGATATGTAATATGAATAAGTTAGAAAGATACATTTCATGAACTACTTCAAGTTAGTGAAATGACCATATATACAAATTATGGTCGCCCTAATACATATGTGGCAACTGAAAACACAAGCAGAATTTCATACAGGAACAGAAATTCTGCTCCTGTTAAAAAAAAGAAGAAGCAACAATAAGAAATGGTGAAGAATGAAGCACAACAATCGTTTGCAAAAGTGAGTAGTTGTAAAGAACATCCCAGTTCACTATTTACTGAGGCTTGCTCTTTTTACAGAGGCGCAACTATAATCTGTCCAGTCAACCCTGAGTGAAGTCTTTGGAGACTTAAGCTATGAATGTGTTTTTGTTCATGCTATTCCTCCGCTTGGCTGACAGAAAATAGGTAACTGGATTAGTGCTGAAATTCAGAATAAAGTGAACTCCCTAAACTTCTGTAGAGCAAGTGCTCAGAAACCCAGCATCGCTAAACATGAGGCAATGGACTGTGATCTCGGAGAGGCTAGAGATTAGCTAAGGGTTGGGAGGTTAGACACTATGAACTGTGGGCTAAAAAGTAAGATTCCTAAAAGCTGTTAAGGGCTTATTAATGTGTGTAAGGAAGCGTATTAATCAACTCAAGTCTATGGTGGATGCTGCTTGCAGGCCCCCGCTCTTGGGTATGCAGGTGGTCCGCTGCTGGGCTGCGCGGAGGCTGGAGAGGAGGCGGCTCGCAGAGCACAATGGTACTATAATAGATGAAAAACTCCCAGCAAAAAGACTTGATTTGATCACCCCAGGAAAAAAAAAGAAAAGTGCCTCCCCTTCCAACCCCCATCCCCTGCTTACATATCTAAATGAAGCAGTGCCTCTAGGGGCTGGAAAATGAGGAATAGGACAAAATTTGGAGACTATTATCTAGATTTATTTAGAGCAGGGAAGTAAATTAGCGGACTCAACGTTTACTTTGTCACGGCTCGCTGGCGTGAGTTTCCTGTTAGCGGTCAGAGCACACGCGCGGGCCTATCCGAGAGGGGAAGGCACTGCTTCCCAGCTGGGGATCAAGGCGAGCCTGGAAACCAGTTGGGTTACCCAAAATTGCTGGGTTTCCTTCACACTGTACTGCGGTGGTGGTGGTGAGATGGCCGCTACTGCAGATGTATCTCAGAGTGTCACTCCATGATGAGAGGGGGTGGAGAAACAAAAGCAACCTTCCCGGTCAGAGGTCAAGGGATACTGGGGTGACAGGTCGTTGGGTCCTGACAAGGCTGGCAACACAACTGTGCCCCCCCCCCCCNAACCTGCGACATTTCATTGTGCCGCTGATACGCCTTTCATACGCCGCTCACCGCTGCGCCTGAAACAAAAAGGTGCGCATCCCTGCGCCCCCCCCCCCCCCCCCCCCGCCCCCCGCGACGTGGATCCCCCAGCGTTCCTGTCCCGCTCACCAGAAGGAGACAGGAACTCCTCCACAGGTTTATTGCTAATCTGTTGACATTTGCTGCCTGCGTTAGCTGTCTGTCGTCTGTTGTTCGGCTGGGCAGATGGTCTCAGAAACAAGAATTACCTTATTACTCTGTGAGCATTAAAGAATAGCACATCCTGGCTGGTTTGTCTGAAACCATGTGTACTGACAGGAAAAAGGACCCTCCACAGAGGTACAATCACACTCACACATTAACAGCCAACCAACACTGAAACTGGGGCTTCCTCTCCAGTGTGCTCATTCACTGCCGACAGCGTAAATCACCTACTTAAAAGGGAATTCCTTCCAAACACTGCATTAAGTTAAATGTTCTTCATAGCAAATGGATTTTACATGTATGGAAGTGGCATTGTGCATACCTCGAGCACAAACCAGGCACATAAACACAAACTTTTTAACATCAACATAGTATTTGGAAACAGTTATTTGTGGCAGCAGAAATGATGCTCTCTGCAAATCACCAGAATCTTTTGATATTAAAATCAGCACCCATGTGTAGTCCTTCATTTTTACGTTTACAACAGAACATTTGACACCTCCTTCCCTGCTTTCTGGTTGTAATCCTCAGTTTCCCATGACCCCTCAATGCTACAGATGGCAGAGAGTAGTTTAGATAATGGAAAAATGTCTTCTGGGAACTGTATTAAGCTACCAGTGCAAGATGTAAATCCCATTCTCATTTGATTACTGAAAAAATAAGCCTGCTTTCTACCATAATACACATAGTACGCAAGAACAGCATTCAAAATTACAGAACGTACCTTTGTGTGGATTTCCCCCTTGTGAAATGATAAAGGAAGCAAATGGCCAAAATATTTAATAATTTACTGGACATTTCATCCCCTTATTTACAATACAAATTTCTAACATGTCACCAATGTCATCATCCAGGTGGTCTAACATTAAGCTCGAAACCTGTTATTTCTGTATGATCTCACAGTTAACCCGATTTGACGCTGCAAGTAAAACAAAAAGCAGTGATCGGAGAGCCAGCAAAAACGTTAAACGATAAAATTAATGGGAAGCTTCAAAATGAACAAAAAATAGGGGACACCCACAAGCACAGGAGCGCCGTCGATTACTTCTGTTCCCAGTGACTCCCCTGTCAACGAAGGCATGATATTTGGAGACCTGTGCCTGTTCTGCCGCAACACGAAATGCAGAAGTCGAAGCACCTGGCCCACACTTTGCATGTCATCTGCTTGGCGAGGTTACGGCAGTGCGCGGAACGCCAGCACAGGCTAATGTCAAAATGTGAATAATATTGCGTGCCCCCCTGCAGAAACAGAAAACCATGGGCAGGACGGCTCTAACGATCTCACGCTGCTCACATTACAAAGTGCAAAGGTTTGGGCAGACAGAGAAATAAAGAGCAAGGGTCTGGGCCTCCCTCATTATAGGCTTGCAGAGCCATTCCATATGAAATATTTATTAAGATATTAATACCAGCTCTCCCCCTTCATCCTGCCTGCAATGGTATGCTCACACATGTCTCCCTGGCCTCCTACACAGCAGTTAGTCCACAGAGCAGCAGTGCCCAGTATATCATCATGGGTTTTAATCTAGGACACACACAATCACTCACACATTTCATATAATCCTAACATTGTGGGGACACTCCATTCATTTCTATGGGCATGACCCTAATCCTAATGGTGATATACACCACAACCCCCACCCTTAACCATAAATGACCAAGCAAAATACAAGCTGTTTTAGTTTTTGTTTGCCGTCACAGATTTCTATAAAATTGAGGTTTATATTGTGGGGACCTGAAAAATATTCAATCTGATAAAGAAAAATACACACACACACACACACACACACACACAGCTAATATTATCTGCAAAGGCCTACGCAAGGTGACGAAACAGCAGTCCAATGTGTGTCAATGTGTCAGGCTGCAGTGAGGCAGCCTCGCCTCCTTCCTCTGATGACACGACCTTTGGGGGGGGGGGGGCTTTCCTGGCGTGTTTCCTCAATGCTCTCGCAGTGAAGAGGGCGGCTCGTGAGGCAGCTCCTGAGAACACGACGTGTGTAAAGGTGGAAGGCGAGGTGACGCTGGTGCTGGTTTACTGCGAGGGCAGAGCCAGCATTATGCTGCGGCTTCTTTATGGACGGAGGGAGAGGCGGAACGCGGCTTTTCACTGGAAACTGGCGGCAGGTGTAAATAACAGACACTTATTCCGCATTACGCTACATCTAAAGGTACAATCAAGAGGGAAGCGCTGGGGGCTCTGACAGCTGACAGACCACAAATGAGTCAGGCAGCTGTAAAAACTTTTGACTCATGGAGTGCTGCTTTCGCAGAAGCTGCTGTGCCGATGCCACTGAAGAACAATAATGGAATGACGCTCCACTCGTGCAAGTTCCTTCCCTCTGATGCCAAAGCCCCCCCCCCCATGCCGCTTTGGAACGCCGTTGTCTGAACACACGTTGTTTTCCTGGAGAAACGTTTGGGCGCGTGCGTGCCATACAGACGGGGTTACTGTAATAATGCGTGTGATAAGTTAATATGGGCTCCATTTCAACATTTTTCAACTGCCCTTTGTAATCAGCATAATTACAACTGGGGAGGGGAGGGGGGTCCAGGCAATGTTTTCTGACCAGATGAACCCATGGAGGACAAACAGGGAAATTACATGCATCCACACACAAGCACACACTAACAAAGTCAGACACGCATGCGCACTCCCAGCATGCCGCTCAGCCGTGACCCAGCCCTCACCCGAATAGGGATCTGGTCGGTCTGCTTCTCCTTCTGCGGTTTGCGATACTTCTCGTAGAAATCACGTTTCTTCTTGCCCTCCTTTTCCTCCTTGCGCTCCCGCTTCTCAGCCGGCTCGTCCGGGCCGTCGGGCGAGACCTCTGCCGCCGGCTTCTCCGGCTTCTCCACCTCCAGGTAGTTCTCGTTGGGGTTGAGGACCATCACGCCGTAACCCTCCTGGGCGACCCCATCAATGAGACCAAAACGGAGAGAGAAAGGAAAACGGAACAGCCGTCAGCATGGCTACCGCCCACAAAGGAATAGTGAAAAGGTGGTGTCGGTGCTAGGTCCGAGAGGGGGGGGGGGGCCGCCATCCAGGCAACAGGCATTAAGGGAAACAGTCACCACAAAGGGTTTATAAAAATGCGATTTAGGGTGAGGCATTAGAGGAGAGATTAGCAGAGAGTGACAAGCACCTCATACGGGGAGCTACAGCGCATGTTTTCAAAGGGCATGTGTCAGTCACAATCAAAGCCGATCGATTCCAGCATCAGTCAGCCTCCGCGCCCACAAGCCCGCCAGCACACGGCACCCCTCGCTGCCCTTTTTTTTTTGGCAAGAAACACAATGTAATGCGAGTTCCGCGAACGCGTGTCTCTGCGGTCTGGAGTACATTTCTGACATTTGTCCCTCATTCATGTACGTGACACAAACGCCCATCGACCGCTTCAAACTCCTTTTTTTTTGTCCAGTGACACACGTGTATAATACTGTTATGCACTGCCCCAATTCCCCATTCTCTAAACAGCTAAGGCAATACATCAAAACAGTAATGTTCATGAAATAATTTATTAGAGCATTATGCTATTTCCATAAAAATTATATTAAATATTATTCTCATGTACCTCAAACATCTTGAAAGTATGGCGTGAGTAATAAAATGTTCCAATTCAACTAAGGTATTTCAAAAAAGCTTACTCAAGGTAATGAGATTGAAATACCTCCCAAATGTGACACCTAACACCCAATGTGAGCAGAAGGCTACACCTCTCCATTTTAACAAGTATGACATCAACAAGTCCCTCCTTCACCCAGACAATCCCAGAGAGGTGATAAAATCTGCTCTTCACCATGTGCCTTTAGCACAGCATTTTTGTTGACAACAGCAAAATGACACATTCACACTTCTGGGGACTTTAATATTATAAGTTTCTCGCTCCTTAACATAAATGTGAAACCAAATTCTCATTTCACGAGACATACTACAACTTCTTATCTGAACAAATCAAACCTCATCAGGATTGCTGAAGATATATTTAAATAAGCTGGCTATTAAAATGCTTTATTCATCTAGTATGCTTAATAGAACCCGATTGTGCAAATCACATTAACAGCTAACAGATTTACCACCAGCAAGAAAATGCTTGCACAAAAACCTAAAATAAAAGCAACTTTCGGCCCTAAGGCATTTGAGTATTAAACATTACACAGAAACATACAGATTTACATTTTACAATAAAACTTCAAAATAACAGATGTGTCCTTTCTGAACGCTCCTTCACAGACTTGCATGAATAAGACCTTTGGGCAGCATAAGAAGCACCCATGTGACCAGTCTGGGGTTCCTCTCCCTGGCAAAGCAGCGGTGCAGTTCCTGGCAATAAGGGCCGCCTCGTGCTTTGTGCCACTGCCCACTGGTGGCAGTCTGGGTGAATGACTGGCAGAAAGTCTCTGCTCGGGGCCCAGGCAGGGGGGCCGGTAGGCAGCACCCCCTGACTGCCGGCAGACTTTAATGAGGTAACCTTCACTGTTAGTCTGTCCACGTGAAGTAGATTTGTGCGACGCAGGGTCTTGTTTCTTCATTACAGGTTGCCACGGCAGGGCTGGTAGATTGCTGGTGTCCTGGTCCCCATCATTTACTGCAGCAGAGAGAGGTCCCCGAGGTGGCGGGCCTGCATTTGTCTTTCCTTCTCTCTTTATTTATCCTCCGCTGGGCTACGCTTGCATTCAGGAATGGGGATGAAAAGCAGCAAAGCGAAAGGGCGCGCTGTGCCTCTTATTTCATAGCCGCTTTTAGGCTTAAACGGCAGGGCTGCCAGACACGCTGTGTGGTACCTGGGACAGCTGAACATCTACATGCGCTACATGCTAATTTAAACACCGCTAATAACAAATGCCAAAGGCTATCAATGTAACAGAGTGCTAAGTTTGGCTTTACAGGTCCCTGATTTGATCAAATTATAGTGTAATTAACTGGACAAAAACGGAATTCAGATTTTATTTGGATTCAATTGAATTTATATAGTATGCCAACAAACATTATAAATAATGAAAATTAAATTTGCAATTCCAAAATAAAATTTGTATATCACGACTGTTACTGTAATTTCTTGAGTGATAACGGTAATAGTCTGAGTTTATATTAAAGTGATTACCAATTACTGCATAATTTATTTATGAATGATTTATTGTTGATTAACGATGCTAACGCTGCAGACTTGCTACGCAGGAGGAACCCAGCTATTTGAGAGAAGTTGTGCACACCTCTGCTGCATGGAGCGTGATCCCTGCCTGGCGGGCCTCACCTCCGGCCCCCCGCGCACACAGCCTTCCCATGGCCCTCCGAGCCCAGCTCCAGCCACCCGGGGCAGGGGCCAGTGGTCAGGGAGGTCACCCCAGCGCGCGCTGGGGGGCAGACCCCGGGAGCCCCTGCACTGGCCATGCTGTTAAGTGCTCTTTTGTCTGGCTGTCTCCATCCTGTCAGCACTCCGGCTAAAAAGCGGCAGGCTCCGTTCACACAAGGCAACAATGGCCTCCGTCAGGAAGCTGTCCGCAGACTCCATGCTGGAGCGATACCCCTCAGAATGCGCTCTGTGTCACCGCAGCGCAATTAGTGATTATAGATTGCCATTGCATGCATATTCATTCATTCAGCTGCATATTTTCATTCTACACTGTTACAACTGAATTTGGATAGACTGAAATGTTTAGTGTGGCTAAACCATCAGGTAATTTAAGTCAGGTACTATACAATTTAAAATGACATATTATTATTTTTCCCTTTGTATAATTATTCTGTTAAGCAAACATTATTACTGCATTGATTCAAATAGCTTCAAAATAATATGCCATGGAAACAAAAGGGATTTTTTTTTAACAGTACAGTAGAATATCCTCTCATTCTTAGCTAAAGGGAAAGAGAATTAAAACACCCTCGATGAGTAAAGCACTGACACATCTTCACAAACAAGTTTAAAAAATAAATTCCGTCGACGAAATGTAAGAAGCCTCGTGGACATACTTACGGATAATCCACTTAGGTAGCTTTATTTTCCTTTGAAGCATACAATTTCATGTTGCAGCATGGTGAATTTTGGACAGGGCTATTTCAGCGTCAGGGAGAATCTGCATGTGTATATATTTGTGTGTGCCTGCCCATGTCACACAGCTGTATTTAAGAACGGCTGAAACACAGGGCCTGCATTTTCTTTAAGCAGAGCTTTTGCACTCATGTCTGGGAATCGCCCTCACTGATTGGCACGTACAGCTCTGGAGGCTTAAGGCACAAGCACAATCCCCCGTCAGCCAATAGGAGGGCAAGGAAAGTATGAGATGTCAAGACACGGAAACTTGGCTGGAGCCAAATGGAGAGTTCGGAGATCTGATTAAGGAAGCACAGTCGAGTCTCCAGAGTGTTCCGTGAGTGCGTGTGTGTGTGCGAGCGTGAAAGAAAATGTAATTTATCAAAACTTACAGATGTACAGTCGTACAATGAGTCTTCAGATAATACAGGTCAACACAAACCGGGAGGAAACACACAGGCGTACCTATGCGGAGTCCCCTATCTTTCTGCCCCATTAGATGCAGGATGCAGGCTTGCGACCCCGTCGGAACAAGAATGTAAATACTGTAGTACAGATTCCACCCTTTGGCTGCTTAGACCCGGCTCTCAAGGCCACCCTGCTCTGCGTGACCTTGGCTGTCAGTGGCTCTATGTGGGATTCTTTAGCATGCAAGGACCCATTACTGCCTTCTTCCCAGACAGCACACAGCTCGGCCTCTATGGCTCACAGCTCTGCTCACGCGTCATGGCGGATACAGGGGGAAGTGCACGGCTGCGCTCTGCCACGCCTGCGGACATGCGGCCCGCTCCAGATAAACACGAATAAATCACCGTGCTGCACTTTGAAACAAAACTCTTGTATTTCTGCCTGCATTATCTTCTTAATGTTCACAGCATTAATAAAGACTGCAAATATCTGCTTGTAGCACGTACACAAACCTTAAATATCACAACTAGAAATCAGCAGAAATCAGGCTGAACTAATGGCTCTGTTATGCAAATTGTTCAACTTATTTGATTTAATGCTTCTGTAGTTTGTTTTCTTTGGGAAAAGCATAAACACTTTCCGGATGTATTTCATGCTGATTAATACAATAAAAGAATTTAAAAATTCTGCAAAAAAATGTAATAATAATAATACATTTTCCAAAAACTCACTGAGGCCAGACTTACAGTGTATCAAAATAATAAAAAAATTCATTTTGATATAATAACATAATATATAGAACAGAAATATTCAAAAATAACAATAACATTGTCTTCTTCTGAGAATTATAATTTTCCTTTCTAAAATAGAAGAAAAAAATAAAATGAAAACTTTAAACACCAAAGCACAAGTTTCATTACTTTTTTTGGATGTTAGTAAACAAGGACTGTAATTTTAATACAATAAAATGGTGCTTCACTTAATCATCGCCATCCTTATCATTACTAATATTTTGACAATTAAAACAATTCATTATTAACATTAAAGCACTTATAAAATGACCCTACACATATGCATATCCATAATATCTTGTGTGTATGTATGTATATGTATATACATACATACTCTTTATAGCAGACTAATTTTAAAAACATGAAATTAGTTCAAAATAAACTTGCACAAAGGAAGCCAGAGAACTTTGAAGCACGCGTCCCCAGCGCCTTCCCTTTTCATGCCTGCTGCTCTTCGTTCCCTCCGCCTGCTCTGGGTGGCTCTGTTTATTTTAAGCACCTCGAATCGGGCGTCAGTCATGAGCGATGTGCATAGCCCAACCTGCGACATTTCATTGTGCCGCTGATACGCCTTTCATACGCCGCTCACCGCTGCGCCTGAAACAAAAAGGTGCGCATCCCTGCGCCCCCCCCGTGATTCCGAGACGCTCATAAGAAATGGGACGCAGACAGCTCT